AACTCTCTAGAATGTATTGGGCCTGTCTGTTTGACAGCCTGTAGGACAAATGTCAAACAGATCAATAATGAAAAGAAACAAAAAGAGAGAGGAGAGGAGAGGAGAGGAGAGGAGAGGAGAGGAGGGGAGGCTTTGTACTCCCGAGCACGGCAGGAATCCTCAGTGGGCTGGGAAGAGTTAAACAGGCTCCAGAGCAGATCTGTGTGCAGATGTGCCATCCCGAGGCAGGGCAGCAGAGCCTCCCTGCCCAGAGCAGGAGCTCCCTGCCTATCCTGGGTGGGATGGAGATCAGGATGGGTGCACCAGAGCTTCTGGGGGCTCCCACCCCAGGCTCCCACCTGCACAACCAAGAGCTCCCGTTCAGCCAAGGGAACGTTTCCAAAGCATTCTCAGAGACACGAAGTGAGGATCAGCCTCACACCCACCACATCTGCCAGAGACAAAAGGAACAGCCCCGTGCCAGGCTCCCCCAGATGCTCAGCTCACTCTGCCTCTCCCCCTTCCAGCCTCACTCCCCCAGTGCAGGCCCAGCAGCTGAGCTGCCTCTCCCCCAGCACCCACAAGGTGTGAATTGCTTCTGACACATGGATGGCTCAGGGGCCCAAAACACAGCAGAAGCAGATGGGAGAGCTGAAGGAAAGGAAGAAGGGAAGGAAAAAATGTAAATACAGGCCAAGAGTCATCCTGCATCACTCCTGTTCTGCACTGTGAGAACGGATTTAGGGAGCAGGAGGAACATCTGTTTGGAAACTGGTTTTGTCTCAGTCCAAATGCTGGAACAGGAGAAAGAGGGAGGCTGAGGACTGCCAGCACACCTTGTGCTTCATCTCACACTTGGATGGCTTAGCAGGAGAGATCTGGGAGGATGAGTTTAGTTTAATGATTTCTTGCTGGTTCACCTGCTCCCCATCTGTCTTTGTAGTCCTTGCTCAGAGGGACAGATTGGAGCACTGCTGTCCTCTCCCTTTTCCAGAGTTCCTCGTGATTGGAACTTCTGAAGAGAGGAACAGAGCAGTTCTCAAGTATTAAGTAGTCAGCTGAGATTAGTCCAATAATTTATCACAGGTAATAGCTAATAAAAGACACGAGAAACTCACTCAGAGCCTTCCTAGAGCCACGTGTCAGAGCTGTCACCTTACAAAAGTGGTGCAAGAAATTCTTGGACCACAGTAGCAAATGTATTAGCCAGAGGCTGATAAACCCTTCCAAGAGTCCCAGAGCCCACAATAAATCATTACAAAGCAGGTTACAAACACCGGATCTCTGATGAAAATGAGGTTGGAGGGGTGGATGTGAGAACAATGCTAGGGTTCAGCTGGCAGGATGAGGGGCCTGGCTCTCCCTGGCCTGACCTCCCAGCCCCAGAGGGATCAAGGCTGGGCCCTGGCACTGCTCCAGCACTGCCATCACCAGCACTGACTAATGGACTGCTGACACAGAAAAGCAGGGAATGGCAGCCTTGGGGATCTGGGTAATAAACTACAGAAAACAGCCATAAAGGTTCATCAAAATTAGAGGCAGGAGCAGCTCCTTGCTCACAGACTCCACGTCATGCACAAGTGGCACCCACAGAGCTGCTCAGGCCCAAGGAACCAGCCTCCACTCGCCAAATCCCACCCTAACACTCAACTCAGAACTTGATTTGAGCCTTTGAAAGGCAGAAATGAAAGAACCAAGAGAAGAGAGCTGCCTATGGCTTCATCCTCCACCAGCCAGAGCTGAAATCAGCCTTTTGAATTATTTTGCTGTGCAGCCACCAGTGAGGGTGGGCAGAGCCACAGCCAGCAGCAAGAGTGTTCTGGTTGTTTGGGCTCAGCAGCACACACCTCTGAGAGATAAGATAATCAGACCCAGCCACGGTGGTTCAGCAATCCTGACACGGTCTTGGTGCTGGAGAAAGGCCTTCAGGAAAGCCAAAACAGCACCAGAAATCAGCCAAGGGTTTGTTTGGGTTCATCAGCGCTGAATTCCAACATAAATACGTGTCCTTCCTAGAAAACTCCAGAGAAAAACGAGGCTCAGACGGAAGGACAGCCAGAAACATCCCTTTTCCACTGGAAGTATTTTATTTGTATTTTATCCTGCTGGCTAACGCAGGCAGCGGGAGGGTTTCAGGATGGATGAAACGCGATTATTTTATAATTATCCTTTGTTACTTCTCAAAGTACACGGTTCTGCACTTCCCTCCCTGCCCAGGGAAATCATGTTAACACAATTAGAGCAAGAGCCCTGCTTTAAACACGGCTGCTCGGACCTTGCTAACACGGCTCCAATTCTCAGCACAGACAGTCTGCAGAGCCATCCTGCTCCATAAATCAGCAGGAGCTCTGTCACCGAGTCCCTCTGAAGGGAAGGGACACTCTCTAGGAGGAACACTCACTGTATATCATCATCCTGTGCTAGCGCTGCTGGCACGAGATGCTGCAGGATTTCTCCATCTCTTGCATTTAATATTCTTTGCAGCCTTATTCTTGCTGTATCTAAGAGAGGAAATCTAACAACAGCTCTAGGGCCACGCAAGGCAAGTGTTGGAGGCCAGATTAGAACTAATGAGCTCCTGGCTCCCACTCAATCCCAGCCTTTAGAACAATTAGCTCAAATAAACCCAGGAACCGTTTTCAGCTCCGCTGTCGCCTGCCCGTCCTCCCCGGTACCTCCTGAGCTGGAAAACTGCAATTGGCTTTGACAGAGGGGAGAGGTCACAGAGAAACCAAAGTTCAGCACAAGCTGCCAGCATGGGAGACCCCCAGGGTGCCCCACGGAGGGGGCCAGTGCAGGGTTCCTGCTGCTCCACTGAGGAACGGGCACTGGGGTCACGATGGGGGCCTGTGCCCCACACAGGGGACACTGGGCAGGGCTGGGGGACACAGAGGGACACGAGGATGGGAACCCCCAGGCTGCCTGATGGCCCTCAGCAGGTTCCAGCACACAGGGCTCCCATTCCTAGAAAGCTGCACTCCGTTACCTTTCAGCCCAGGGATGAAGCCTCAGGAACACAATTCTCCTTTCCAAACCCTCTGGAGATCCCTCCTTGGACTTCACTCACACAGGGGACCCTGCAGCTCTGCTGTCAGCAGCAGGAGATGCAGAAGGCAGGCACAGCAGTCACTTCAGGTTAGTGCAGCCTCGTGCTTCACTCACGCTCCAGCGTCCTCCCGGGGAGTGCTGGAGTGCCCAGGAGGAACAGCTCTGCTGCACATTTTCCTGCTGGATTAGGGCTCCAGCAGCGTGTGCCCATTTCACAGAGGTGCCACGATGGATCTGCCCTCAGGAACAGGACACAAAGTGTCCTGCTTTAATTACCAGAGGGTGCTGTGCCCCGTTAGCCAGGGTAACAATGAGTGCCCTCCTGTCCCATAACGAGGGGATGTTGATTATGCAGTGCTCCAGCACAGCTCCCAGTGTGCTCTGTCTCCTGCCATGCTCTGGGTGCATCGTGCACAAAGCCCTCACATTATGTGCAGCTCACAGACACCACTGCCCACGACAGCTCCTCTGGAGCCCTTCCAAAATGTGGTGTCAGATGATGAACTCAAGTGCCAGGGGAGCGAGAGTAAAGACGGCAATCATGGCAGCGTGTGCTCCTCATGCCAAATCCACTCACAGCATCCACTGAAAAGCATTTTTCTGGGGAATGTAAATGTAGTCTCTTCCTTAAGTTTAAAAATCAGAATGTTCCCAGCTCCTCTTGCCACCACTGGAGTGAATTTTCCTTCCTGCCTTCTCCTTCTGACAGCTCCATGTCAGTTTTATATTCAGGTCAGTCTTTTATTTAGTACTAAGGTACATTTCCCTTTCTCCCTCTCAGCTGCCCCATCTAAAATCTCAATTGTTTTCAATACTGGAGAACATATTCAAAAACATCAAAATGATAAACAATCTGTACAATGACAGAATCACAGAGTAAACCAAACATGATGGATTAGCCTCATCTGGCAAAGCCCTGCATACAGAACCAAAGGAGAGAATACTCAGCACAAAAATCTTTCTCCCATTAAGGGGCAGATTTAATCATTGATTAAAAGTTAATCATGAGTCCATAAAAATTTTGGCTGGCAAGATGGAATCTTAACGCAGGTGACTGCTTTTTAGTAAATATTTGAAGAGCTGGAAGTGCACATGCCCCAGACTGATGGAGGAGCAGGGAGGTTACAGCAGGATTACTGACAGCTCACAGCCAGGCTCCATCCCCCTGCCCTAACCCCCTCTTCCTGTCCAAAGAATGTCAAGGAGCTGATGTGCATTTCCTGAAGTGATCCAGGAGAGTGCAGGTCCTTCAGCACATCTGTGGGCATCCTAGAAAGTCATTTCCCCACGCCCAGCACTCGCAGTCACTCATCACCCGCCGCCAACAGCTCTGCAGAGCTGGAGCCGTGTGCTGGCTCTAAGTGGCAGTTCAGAAACCAGTCTAGCATCAAATTTAGTTGTTGTGGAACAAGTGCTTTCACTGCTAGACTTGGGGAGAGAAGAGCAAATGACTGCAAATTGCAGAGCACTCCCAAATTCCAGAGTGCCCTCAGCTCGGGAGAGCTGGGTCAGAGCGAGCTCTGAGGTAGCACTGAGGCACACAGCTCTGCAGCACTGATCACAGCACGCTCACATTCCTGTGCCTCTGCACTCCACCAACAGAACAAATACATTTTTAGTCAATTAACTGTATCCCCCACAGCTAAAACAGGCTGGAGGTCAGGTCTAAATTCTGTTTGCATGAATCCACCGGAGGCTGCTGAAGCAAAAAACCCACTGCATGCACCATGTGTGGGATTTACACCACAGTACCCCTTTCACAGGTTCAGTAAATAAATGCATGAGGAGTGTGGAGCAAAGGAAAATTCCAGCAAGGCTGGAGCCAGCCCGTGCTTCAAACTGCAGAGAAATTCTCTCTTGCAGAGGTATTTCTACCCCAGAGAAAGAATTACAATCACAGCACAACTGACTGGTTTGAGATCACAATTCCGCCGCACCGTAGTAAATATTTTACAGAGAGCTGGTTTCCTTACCCCCAGCAGCCAGAGCAAGTCTGTTGGAAGTCCCTGGGTTTCCATCTGCCCAGCAGACAGGATCAGACCCTCCCCACGTGCCTCAGTGAGGAGATGTGCTCGGGAGGAGCATCTCCAGCTGAACCGTGCGTGGTGCTCCTCACGTACGGCACCAGGGATGGATTACAGCCCCGAGTGCTCTCGGCCCCACATCGCAGCACTGGAAGGCATCTGCTCCAAATGTACGGACAGAAAGTTGCACAGTGCAGGCAAAGGGAGAGGGCTGACAAAGTTTTCCCTGCTGGATGTGGAAAGGAGATGGTCAGAAATGAACAATGATGGGATTCACAGCCCGGCTCAGCCCGAGAGCTGCTCTGAGCCTTGCTTGTGGCAAACTGGTGATCACAGCTCACCCCCAGGGCACCCGAGAGCTCCAGAGCACCCAAACCCACACAGCTGTACCACAGGCAACCAGCACCAGAGCTGAGACTTCTCCTGGCAGGGGTCAGAGCTGTGGCAAAAAAAAAAAAAAATCAGGAGAACCTGCAGCATTTCCCCAGCCCTGCCCCAAAAATGGGCAGTTTTTTCACTGCAGTCACAACAGTCAAAAACCACACAAAAGAAACTCAGCATCCTTCAGCAGGGGGCTTTCAGCAGAGGCTGAGCTCCTGATAACATTCCTGTCTCTTCCTAATTATCTTTTAGTGATAAACTGTCAAGATATTTGTGTTCCAAAGACGGATCCACCTGCCGATGTGCAGAGTGATGCAGGATAACTGTGAGTTGGTGCCTCCATCCCCCCAGGGGCTGATTTTTGAGAGCAAATACATCTTTAGAGCTGTGTTAGAAGAGGACAGGGGACAGACAGGTGGAGGTGGAGATGGGAGGAAAAGCCAGGATGAAGAGAACTGCACTGTGAAACAAACAGGCTTTGGTATCATTAATCCAGAGGAAATGAATGCAGGTGTCAGACCCAAGGGGACAATCCCTGCCTGGATTTGACACATTCCCTCATTTGAAAGGGACAAAAGGCACTGCCAGGTTCAGGCACCAGGCATTCCCACACCTCAGGCACGGAAACGTGCTTTTGCACCCAAAAAAAGAGAAGAAAAATGAATAAATCTCTCCCTCTGTTCACATTTTTCTCACATCCCGTGACTGAGCTGGAAGTATTTAATGATGAACTTTCTGCTCTGGCTGGTTCCAGTGGCTGTCTTTAAGCAGTGGTTGGTATAAAAATACTTTAAAGAAATGCTCTTCCCTGTCTCCCCAGTGCTCCCCCACCTGAGATCCAGGAGTGCCTGTTTGGCTCCATCCATCATCAGCAAAACTGTCAGCTCAGCTCCACCAGCAAAATCTTTATTACTGGTTATGATGCAGAAGGCAGGAACCACACGGTCTGATTTCCTCAGATCTGAGGCTGAGTTTGCAGAGGCAGCAGTTAGAGGGGAAATAATTTTGACTTTTCCCCGAGCCAATTTGATCTGAAAATTGTTGAGAGCAAATAAATATGGAATCCCACCGTGGAATTTCTGCAGTCACTCTCCAGCTACAACCAGTTGTCTTTTTTTATCCTGAGCATCACTGATTTGTATTTGGCACATGTAAAAAATCAGCTAATCCCCAAAGCCATGCCTGACTGATCAATTACACAACTAATACCTTTTCCAGAGGTCATATTAAGAGATGAATAATCCCTTCCAAAATTTCCCAACCTGCAGCATGGGGACATTTCTTATTTGGCTTCCTGCAGCTTTCCTGGAAAGGTCAGAGTGCCCCAGCCCTGGGCTGCCCACAGGAACACACAGCAGTGGCTCCCAGACTGTTCTCCAGGTGACCAACGACCTTTAGCAGCAAAATTTGTGCAATACAGCAGCTCTCCTTTTTTATTTCCAAGAAAACAACTGTTAAGTGACCCTGGACTTGTCTTTATAGGTGAAGGTGCCTGCACACACACGTCAGCCCAGCAGGTCCAGCCCAGCCTGGCTCCTCACTCTGCAAACAGCCCCAGTGCTCCTCACGCCCCAAAGGCTTTCCCAAACACCAATAAAATGGGAGAGGCCATGGGGCTTCCCACTCTAAACTCTGTTTTTTAAGCAGGAAAGGTCTAGCAGGGCTACATGAGCTGCCAGGAAAGCTGTGGCACTGACTCTTCTTCAGCTGAAGATCAGGCAGCTCAGAGGTGGTGGGAAAGAATGGACACCTGGCTGGAATTCCTCAGACTGGAGGGTCCTGGGGAAAACAAAAAGATTTCTAGATACAGAAAGCTTTCTCTAGGCTGGGCATCACCTCTGGGCATCTTTGGTCATGCACCAGTTTTAACTCCTGGCTTTCATCTGGCAGGCAGGTGGGGGAAAAAGATCCACAAATGCCATCCACACCCATCCTCTCTGTTACAGAGGGAAGGCAGAGAAAAGAACAAAACTTCCAGTGCAAGGACAGCTGGGGACTCCTTCTAGCAATGAAAGCTCTGGAGGAAGGAGGGAAAAGCAACTCAGAGCAGCCACCACCTGCCCTGCTGGCATCTCACATCATGCGAGCAATATTTGCTAATCCAAAGGCTGTATCATCACTTCTTCCTTGCAATTCTTTTTTTCTCCATCTGTTTCTTTTTATGCAGCATTTGTCTTCTAACCTTCCTGGTTTGTTTTGCTCTTGTCTTTTTGAGGAACAAAAAGAGACACACCTTATCTCTTCCCCTGGCTGCACCACCCTCCCTTGTTTTGCGTGTTCAGCCTCATATCTCAGCACCATATTTGTTTCTTTCTCTCTGAATAAATAGAAGCGTAGGCACTTTTAAGAAATAAGGGCTCTGTTTGAAGAGTAATTAGCTGTCAGCATAAAACTAATATTTATGGATTCTCATCCTTGAAAACTCTAACTCTGCTACCCAGCACTGATTATGGCTGTTAGAAACAGATGGGGCCGAATCCATACAGCTTGAAATAATGCTATATTTAAAAAATAATTAACTCCAAATGAAGGACTGAATGCCACTCGCTCCCCCTAAATTTGATTTTTCAATTTGGTTTGTTTGCACAGAGTGGAAGCTGGGTTATTCCCGGCTGTGTCGTGCTCCCTGGCACACCTTGGAGGTGGGAATCTGCAGAGAGCCAGGCACACCTGAGGGCTGGGCACTGGAACATTCCGAACACCCTGCAGCAGGACAGGATGGCTGGATCCCCCCGGGGTCACAAAGGAACCCAGCACCTCTGGGTGTGCTGTGCCCGGCTGCCTGGCAGAGGAATTGGAATTTCACCAGCCGTGCAGCCTTTGTTTTAGTGCCTGACAAAGCCAGCGGGAGGGGAGCTTTAAAAACTGCTTTTCAGATGCAGGTTGGAGAGGATGAAAGCCCTCGGTGTGTTGTTCCCTGACTTGATTCTCTCTTCAATCCGGGGCAGCATTGGATGCCTGCACCTCTGCGAGAGCACAGGCCCAGGAAATTTATACTCTGCTTAATTAAATCTGTGCTTTTTACTTATTGGCACCTCTTGCGAGAGCAGAATTCCCTCCAAGTTGGTTATCCATCACGGCTGGGGATCCGACAGCCACCATGGCAGCCCACACCAACCTGGTTAAGTGGGTCACAGCCTGCTCCGTGTGTCTGGGGCTGCCAGGCTTCCACCAGCTGCAGGAATGGGGCCAAACCCTCCCCTCGCCCTGGCAGCCCCCCAGAGGGGCTACCCCGGTCAGAGGGGTCAGCTCCCTGCAGTGGGTGACAATTCCAGTACAGGGACAGAGCCTCCCTCTCCTGCATCCTGTCCCTCCATCCCCTGGACCAGCCAAGTTCTGTCATCTCCCGGTTTTTGTGCAAATCTGCCCCCTCAGAGATGCAGACTTTTGCACAACCAAAGACGTTTCCCACCAAGCAAATTTCTTCCCCCCACAACCCTTTTTTTCTCCCCAAATAACCAAGCTGAAATTTAAATTTCGTTAATTTCAGTCACGCCGGGCGAGTGGAGGTGTGTGCTCAGTGACAGGGACAGTCCCCCGGAAAGGGACACCCCAATTCCTGCCACCCTCCTTGGGAAAAGAGCAAGGGAGCTCGTGTGAGAAATGGGGGCGAGGCTGGGGAGGTGAGGGGTGGGAGCAACGAGGGGGGACAGGGCTGTGAGGGGAGGGGACAGCGGATTGAGGGGGGACAGGGCTGTGAGGGGAGGGGACAGCGGATTGAGGGGGGACAGGGCTGTGAGGGGAGGGGACAGCGGATTGAGGGGGGACAGGGCTGTGAGGGGAGGGGACAGCGGATTGAGGGGGGACAGGGCTGTGAGGGGAGGGGACAGCGGATTCAGGGGAGACCCAGACGTGAGGGCTGAGGTGGACATGGACCCAAAAACTGGGGAGCGTCACGGCCATGAGAGAGGACAAGTGTTGCTGAGGGCAACGTGGCTGTGAGGGGAGGCAAGGACTGACTGAGGGGGAGATGTGGCTGCCGATGGCAGGTGAGGACTGAGGGAACACACACCTGTGAGGGGAGGTGTGAAGGGACATGGCTGAGGGGACACACGTGTGAGGGGAGGTCTGATGGGACATGGCTGAGGGGACACACACCTGTGAGGGGAGGGGAGGTGGGATGGGACATGGCTGAGGGGACACACACCTGTGAGCGGAGGTGTGAAGGGACATGGCTGAGGGGACACACACCTGAGGGGAGGCGAGGTCTGATGGGACATGGCTGAGGGGACACACGCCTGTGAGGGGAGGGGAGGTCTGAAGGGAAATGGCTGAGGGGACACACACCGGTGAGGGTAGGTGTGATGGGACATGGCTGAGGGGACACACAACTGTGAGGGGAGGTGTGATGGGACATGGCTGAGGGGACACACACCTGTGAGGGGAGGGGAGGTGTGAAGGGACATGGCTGAGGGGACTCTGCTGTGAGGGGAGCCGATGCTGTGAGGTGAAGCAAGGCGAAGGCTGCCTGAGGGATGACAGCACTGAGGCGAGGCCAGGGCTGCCTGAGGGGGCTATGGAGGTTCTGAGGCAGCACCGAGCGGGCACTCGGCCGGGAGCGCTGCCTGCCCTCCTCACCCACCTCTTTAATCTTCATCCTGCGGGCGCGGGTCTCGGGGTCCTCTCCGCTCCGCCCGCCCCGCACCGGGTGCCGGAGGCTCCGGCGGAACCGCTCGTAGTCGAAGCGGAACGGGGCCCGCGTCTCCCGGGCCGGGGGCGCGCCGCTGGCGGGCTGGGCTCGGCTCTCGCCGCCCTGCACCTGCTGCCGGGAGCCGGGCGCGGTGCGGGCCGGCGGCCCGGCCATGCGGGCGGCCGCGCGGAGCTTCTCCCGCAGGCGGCGCGGGGCCGCGGGGCTGGCGTGGCGGGGCTCGGCGGCGGCGGGGGGGCTGCGGGGCAGCTCGGTGTCGCGGGTGGAGGAGGAGGAGGCTGAGGACGAGGAGGCGGAGGATGAAGAGGAGGCGGAGGCGGTGGCCCGGCGGGGTAGGAAGAGGCGCTTGAAGCGGGAGGAATCGGGCAGGAGGAAGAGGGCCCCGAAGCAGAGCGTGAGCAGGCCCGAGAGGAAGAGCAGGAACAGGAACTTCTGCGGCAGCCGCAGCCCCAGCGCCGCCGGCCAGCCCGGCATGCCCGGCAGCTTCCGCAGCACCACCATGGGGCACCGGATCGCGGCCGCCGGGCGGGACCCGCCGCCACGCCGGGGGCTGCCGCTGCCTCCTGCGGCGAAACGCTCAGCGGGGCCCGCCCTGGGCACCACCGGCCGCCTTCAGCGGGGACCGCACGTGGGTGGCTCCGGGCCGGGCGGAGCGGCGCTTCAGCGTCCCCGCTGCCGGCATGAAGGCGGCGGCGAGCGCATCCCGCCGGGGCCGGGCGGCGCGGGGCTGGGCTGGGCTGCTCGCGGTGCGGGCTCCCGGCCGGACGGTGCTCCGGGGCTGGCTCAGGCAGCGGCGCCGGGGCGGTGCGAGCCCGTCTGTCTAGGCGGCGGTGGGTTCATGCTGCAGCATTTCTGCGGGGCGGGGGAGACAAGAGCGCGGTCATTCAACACCGCCGAGGATGCGGCCGGCGAGACGAGCCTTTGTCCCCGGCCGGTTCCCCACCCTCTAGTTCGGTTCCCTCTGTCCGGACTTGGCATCAACTCTCCGGTCTGCGAGCAGCTCGCAGCTCTGCACCATCTCCCATCCAGCAGGGATGCCGGGCTCTGCTGGCGGGGCAGCCCGGAGGACAAGGGGGAGAACCCCGGGAGGGATGAGGTGCTCTGGGACACCCCAGGAGGGGCAGGGTGCCCTGGGACAGCGCACACAGACAGGGACGAGGCTGCTCCGCTCCTCTGCCGGGAGCTGCCTTCGCCCGCGCCGGGCTGGGAACGATGGGGCTGCAAACCAGCCATGCGGAAAGCTCGGCTCGGGCTGAGCTTCTCGAGGCAAAAAATAGTAATAAAAAAAATAATTAAAAAAAAATCTGCGGGTTTTGGTTTTGTCCAATAGATCCCGGCAAATTTCTCCCAAATCTCTGCCTGCTAGAGTTATCCATACCCCCCCACCAACCCTCTCCTTGCCGAAGAGACAGAGCTCAACTTTGAGACCCCGCAAGCCGGCAGGACACGGCTTAAACCCCTACGTGCGATCCCCACATCGCCCCTTCTCCTGCGGGCAGGGACAGCGCTGCCCCCGAGCGCCGTCACTCCTGCTTGGGCAGAAGCTCTCCTACCCCCAGCGCTGTTTACTCACCCCTCTGCCAAATCCAAGCCTCTCTGGCTCCTACAGTGAGCAAAATCTTCTCAGTCCTGCCCGCTCATCCCAAAAGCGACAGCCCCTCGCTGCTGCCAGCGCTCACGGGTGCCCGCTCAAGTAGGAGAGGGAAGATGCTGCGCTCTCCAGGGGACAGCTCCTCTCCCTGCCCATCCGAGCACGAAGGAGGGAAGCACCTAACTGCACCGAGCCCCTTGCCAGGCTGTGTTTTCCTGCCCGCCCCCGTGCCGGCTGCGGGGACCGGCGGGGCAGCGCTGCCCGGTGCCCGCACGGAGCCCCGCCCGCTCCGCCGCTCACTGCGACAGCGCCCGGCCCCGCCCCGCCCCCTCCCGCCAACGGTCACTCCGCCGCCGCTCCAGCCAATCAGCGCGCTCGGCTCTGCCCGCCCTCCCTCGCTATTGGCTGGTTGTCTCCTCCTGCGGTCGCCCATTGGCTGCTGCCCGCGACAGGGAAGGCGTGGGTCCCGCCCCCTTGTTTACCACAGTTGCCCGGCTCGAGCTCGGAGCGGGATGGCCCCGCCCCTTTCCTCCAGCCACCGCCTCCCATTGGCTGCGAGGAACGCCCCGTCCGCGCTGCGATTGGCGGAGGGGGGGCGCCGCTACTTTAAAAAGGGGCTGCGGGCAGGCGGCGGCTCCAGAGGCTGTGAGGGCTCGGTAGGGGCGGACGGATGTTGTGTCACCGTTTCCCCTTCTCACGCACTATGAGGGCTCTGAGGGATAGATTTACCCACAGAGCCCCCACGAGGGGCTCCGTAACCCTGCGGGTGCCACGGCCCTGGGGGCGCTGCCTGGCACGAGGAGAGGAGCAGGAGTTAGAGAGGAGCAGGAGGTGCCGTGGGAGCCCCTTTTCTGGTTTATATGAGCCCATGTTCAGGTGCCGTGAAACACTTCTTGATCCCAAATTGTTAAATCTGCACCTTAACCTTCAACGTATCACCAGGTAGATCTGAGGTGACCCTGTGGGTTAATACTGTACCAGAGGGGAAGATGGTGAATCAGAGTTTCTGCTCATAAATGTTACAAAAAACGCCCTCAAACCTGCAGAATTAGCAATGAAAGGGAGAAAAGGGCATCACCCACACCCGGAGGCATCTGGAACCCCTCAGGAATAACTGGATGGGGGAAGGGGGCAGGATGAGGCTCCCAGGAAAGGGTAAAC